ATAATCAGTTACTTTAAAGCAAGCCATTATTCATTCTTCAGAAGTGGCCACTAGGTGACAGCCAGAACTCCAAGGCCAAGGCACAGATGGTTACCTGCTAATTAGTAAAACATTCCTACTACATTTTATTTTCACAACTTTATCTATCACATAATGGAAGAAATACATCAAAAGAGAAAAAATATAAGGGTCTAAGACAAAAAGTTTCAAACATTAAATCCCCCTACGACTGCAGGCTCTACAGCCTCATAAGCAATCAAACAATAATCAAAAGTATATCTCTGTGATGTTAATAGAATCATCCTATATTTCCTCTAGTTAAAGATTATGAAAGTGGCTAAAGCAGCTACATTTTCTATGCTCTAGAGAGTTGCAAGGACAGGGTAACCTTTAAGGTCACAGCAACTATATTTTTTGCCATAGCAGTTTCAGCTCATACTCTCATCACTTCCATTAGTTTGTAAAATTCTTGTTAAGCCGATTCCCAGAAGGCATGCTATATGTCTGGGCCAGATTTCAGGGCAATAGGTAGGCACACAATAATGTGTGTCCAGAAATGGCATGGGTTTAATTGTAGGTTTAATTGTACTCCTGTGCACAGTTAAAGGCCCACTCACCAAGACATCAATAACATTAACTCTTAAGCTCACAGTAGTTGCCAAAGCCATCTCACAGGGGCAAACAATGCCTCAATAGATTACAGAATTCTTAGTGGGGTGCTTGAGTGTCCATGCAAACGGGGTGAGACTGCGTCAAGGTGGTCAGAGAGAAATCGCCGGGCCCTGCCAAACAGCTGGAAGCTCCCCAGGCGCTGCCAAGCAGGGAGCTGTTCTCTTCACACCTTTGTGTCATCCACACCTACTACACGGACCCCAGCACATTACCTCCTCCAGCTCTTTCCCAAACCAGATATTGCAGTCGCTCAGGAATAAGCCCACAAATTCCCCTCAGAGCCTGCTCAAGACTGGTTCGCTTGCATATCAGTTAGTGTCATGGCCCAGCCTAATATGACCCATCCCTGCCCTGATGCTCACTGGCATATCTGTGTCTTAGTTCTACCAGGCAGGTTGCCAGCTCTAACTTTCGTGTATGCTAGTGGGCTGTGATAGATGCCAACTAACCTACCAAGGTCTTCCACATGAACAGGTGTCCTAGTCTGACCCAAACACATCTCTTTTTTCCCCCACTCTGAACCAGACAGTCTCAACCCCCATGTTTTACCTGCCATTGTAGTAGCAATGTCTGTGGAAGTCCACCAGAGGTCATTCCTCACCTCTAATATGTTTCCTCAACAGTCCCTCCACCCACAGGTCCCCCAATCCCTTTGCTGGGACAATTCACAGCCACCATGTCCACAGCCAAGTCGGCCGTATTCCCAGGGCCTAAGCCTGGCCATCTCTGAACCTCTGGGAATCTACACCCCTGGGATTCACCTTGAAAACAGCTCCCAAGGGAGACCCTGTGGGTCACAGCACAGTCTGGAATGGAGCCGACATCAGGACAGTTGTCAGAGGCAAGGGCACCAGGAGCCCATGGCCACAGAATAGCTGAGTTTTTGTGGAAAATCTGAGCATAGCCTCCAACCCACACCCTTCAGAGTCATACAAGTTTGTTAACCCAAAACACACATTTCTCTTATTTTTTTATTTGAAAGAGTTCCAGAGAGGTCATCCATCTGCTGGGTCATTCCCCAGATGGCTGCAACAGTCAGGGCTGTGTCAAATCAATATAGGAGCCAGGAGCTTCTCTGGGTCTCCCATGGGGATGCAGTGGCCCAAGACATGGACCGTCCTCTGCTGCAATCTCAGGCTATTAGCAGGGAGCTAGGTGGGAAGTGAAGAAGCCAGGACAGAGCCTCAGGGATCACAGATTACAAGGCACCCAACACTAGGTCCTCCTTCGTATGGCTTGGTATGCCTTACCTGGTGACTGGTCTGCAGCATTCTACATGAACATGACTTTGACATATAAAAAATAATGCCTGATTACCTCCCTCCAGAGTCTCATCATCTAGTACTAAAATATAACATTTCTGAGGATCCTTTCAATTACCTCCTCATGTTGGCATTTAGAAAGCTTGTGTTTGGAGGCTAGCACTGTGCACAGTGGGTTAGACTGCCACCTGCGACACTAGCATCCTATTGGGTCACTTGTTCAGGTCCTGGCTGCTCCACCTCCAATCCAGCTCCCTGCCGCAGGCCTGGGAAAGCAGTAAACGATGATCCTTGGGTGCTCAGGCCTCTGCAGCATGTGGGACACCAGAGGAAGTTCCTGGATCCTGACTTCCACCTGGCTCATCCACTGTTGTTGCAGCCATTTGGACAGTGAACCAGTGGATGGAAAAATACCCCTCTCTAACTCTTTAAAATAATTAAATACATCTTTTTTTAAAGATTCATTTATTTTTATTGGAAAGACAGATATAAAGAGAGGAGAGACAGAGAGGAAGATCTTCCACCCGTTGGTTTACACCCAAACGGTCACAGCAGCCATAGCTGAGCTGATCCAAAGCCAGGAGCCCGGAGGCTCTTCCAGGTCCCCCATACCAATACAGGAGCCCAAGGCTTTGGACCATCCTCCACTGCTTTCCCAGATCACAGGCAGAGATATGGATGGGAAGCAGAACCACCAGGACTAGAACCAGTGCCCATATGGGATCCCTGTTCATGCAAGATGAGGACTTTAGCCTCTAGGTTACCGTGCTGAGTCTGATTACATACATCTTTTAAAAAATGAACACTCAAAAGCACTTTTTAACTCAGAGATCTAATTCTCCCTGAGACTATAGATGGAATATTATAGTACATTAGTATTATATATCATATTACATACTATTACACTGTATATCATTATATTATATTAGCTTTTCACACCTACATTACCATGGCTCAAAGCCACTCCCTTCTACAGATTGGTCACCTCAGAATGTACCTCCAGAACTTCCCAGTGTCCCCTGAGTGTGGCCTCTGAAGAACCCATGGCCACATCTTTGCAATTTCTCACCTCACCCTCAGCCACCATGACCTGACTGAATGGCCACCCCATGTGGCCATCCCATGGTGCTCACCCCTGCCAGCAATGCTGGAGCTTCAGGACTAGGACTGGCAATGCACACTCAGCTTTTGTGTCCTAAGTATGAGAACTTGGTTGGTTTCTCTTTCTCTCAGCACAATAGAGACAGATATGATGAACAGACTCCCCAAGAAGCCCAGGGCTTGGAGGAGATTGAATAACAAAGAAGCAGGCCTGGCACGGTGGTCTAACAGCTAAAGTTTTCAACTTGAACACACCGGGATCCCATATGGACCCTGGTGATAATCCCAGCAGCACTGTTTCCCATCCAGCTTCCTGCTTGTGGCCTGGGAAAGCAGTCGAGGACAGCCCAAAGCCTTGGGACCCTGTACCCATGTGGAATACCTGGAGGAAGTTCCTAGCTCCTGGGTTCAGAGCAACGCAGCATCATCTGTTATGGTCACTTGAGGAGTGAATCATCAGACCAAAGATCTTCCTCTCTGTCTCTCTTCCTCTCTGTATATCTGACTTCCCAATAAAAATAAGTAAATCTTTAAAAAAAAAAAAAAAGAAGAACAACAACAACAACAACGACAAGGAGAGTAACGTGTATAGCCTACAGTAAGGGGGACTTTGTTCACATTGCAAAAGGAAAGCACTAGGAGACAGTTTGACGTTGGGGATAGAGGGGTGGTTTCCAGAAGTATCCTTTGCCTGCCCTGCCCCAGAGGCTACACCAAGACAGGAGGACCCAGCTGCTCCACCCAGAGGTCAACCCCAATGACCATAAGACCCAGCAAGAAGCAGAGTTTTCCCCAAACCCTGTACTGTGAGACTTAATGCCTCCAACCTCATTCTTGGCCCGAGATAAATCATTCCACTATCAGGGACACTAGGCAGGTGCAGTCCCCTTTAGGAGCAGACCAAGCCAGGTGCCTGTTAAGAGTCTCAGGTGTCGGACCCAGTGCAGTGGCCTAATGGGTAAAGTGCTTGCCTCACACACGCTGGGATCCCATATGGGTGCCAGTTCTAGTCCCGGCAGCCCCCTTCCCATCCAGCTCCCTGCTTGTGGCCTGGGAAGGCAGTCAAAGATGGCCCAAAGCCTTGGGACCCTGCACTAGCGTGGGAGGCTCCAGGCTCCAAACAACGGTGAGTCTCTGCACCGTTACTTATCTGCTAGGACAGTGGCCTTATCCCTGGAGTCGCTTGGAGTCATTGTCACCTGGACATGAACCCTCAGTTTCCTATAGGCCTCCACCTGTACCATCTGCCAGACAGCTTATAGCTCCATACCCCCAAAGACCCAGAGCTCACTGCTGTGCTGCCAGAGAGCTTTGTCCAGAGTCATTGGCACCCTGGGCATGGCCAGAACCTCAGGGCATCTAGCAGGGTGAAAGTCCCCGGTCACCAGTCTGGGCTGTCTTCCCTCCCACCAGCCACCTCTATGGGTGGCCAGTGGGATACACAAGGTGATTTTTCTAAAAATATAGATTTTTTTTATATGTAATTGAAAAGTAGAGTTACAGAGAGAGAATCTTGCAGTAGCTGGTTCACGCCTGCAAATGCCTGCAGCAGACAGAATCAGGTCAGGATGAAGACAAGAGCCTGTCTCCCACTGGGTACAGGGACACAAACTTTGTGTCATTTCTGCTGCCATTTCAGACAGTTAGCAGGGAGCTGCACTGGAAGTGGGGTACCTGGCACCCGAATTGGTGCTCTGGTCTGGGATGCTGGCACTGTCGACCTTAGCTTAACCAACTGATGCTCCTGACCACTCCTGAGCCAATTCCTCCCAGATTGTCCCTCTTCAACTCTGGTTTCCTTACTCTCCTGCCAGTTTCCATACCTGTACCCTGCCCTTGTTTAATGATCACATTATTTGCATATGAACCTTGGTCTTTGATGTGACATATTTCCATGCTCGAGCAGGTAAAGCAGCGAAAACGAAACTTCGTTATCAATAAAGGCTGAGCCTGCGAGCAGCTGCACACAAGCCATCTGCTGGACACAATATGGCTTCGGTGAGTCCCCAGACACAGCAGTAGTGGGGAAGGGTTGTACTGTGTGGGTCCCGGTCTGCTGCCAGCTCTGGCACACGCTGATGCCCATGGCCCGACTTCTTCTGATGGGTGGGCATTAGAACCCTGACCATCGAATGCGAACCCAGAAGGTGTCTTGGTCTCAGCTGTTGTGTGGGTATGGATCTACAGAGGCTGGGAAGGAGGCGGCAGCACCTGCCAGGGTCTGGATTTTTGCTTTTCCAAGTGTCCTCTGGCCACATTCCTAGTGGCTTCCTGGCCTCCCAGGGTGCAGTGTGGCGGCAGGGTGTGGGGAGCCTCTGTTCAGGATGATGGCCCACAGCTGTGTGGGCAGTGGTGGAGGTCCTGGAAGGAAGCTGAGGATGACAAGGACTAAAACACTTGGCCGTCACCTGCTGCATCGTGGGGTGTGCAGTAGCAGAAAGCTGGGTAGGCAGCTGAGTAATCAGAATTTAAACCAAGTCCTCCAGTAGGGGAGGCAAATGTTTCTAGAAATGACTTAACCACTATGTTATATGTCTGCCCTTGGCTTTATGTCTTATTGTGTGTTATTTTTCCAAAGATTGGTTGATGATTGATTGATTTTTATTAGAAAGGTAGATATACAGGAAGAAGGATAGACAGAAAGCTCTTCCATCCTTTGGGTCACTCCCCGAGTGACCTCAATAATCTGAGCTGAGCCAATCCAAAGCCAGGAGTCAGGAGCTTTCTCTGGATCTCCCACATGGGTACAGAGTCATAAGGCTTTGGGCTGTCCTTGTCTGCTTTCCCAGGCCACAAATAGGGAACCAGGTGAGAAGTGCAGAAGCTGGGACTAGAACCGGCAACCATATGGATCCTGGAACAATTAAGGTGAGGATTTAGCCACTGAGCTGTTGTGGTTTTTAATCAGGTTTCTTGACTACAGTTGATCTAGAATGTTCCTGGTTCTTGTCCTTTATTTACCAGCTTTGTGGAATACCATGGTGATACCTTAACATCATTCAATGATGCTTCATGGGTTTTAGAAATATCGATATGAACATATGGGTTTCAATGTATTTTGTAAGATCCAACCCATGTGCAGCTGTTAGTTTCTGATAACTAAATCTGTCCTAACTTTGATCTATCTGGTTTTTTTTTGGGGGGGGGGGCTAAAAAAGGATTATTTTTAACTTGATTTGAAAAGCATAGGGGGAAAGGAGAAAGCAAGAGAGAGGGAGAGAAGGAGAGAGAGGGAGAGAGAATGTGTGTGAGAGAGAGAGTGTTCCCATCTGCTGGTTCACTTCTCCAAATGCCTATTAACCTGGTTGAAGTCAGGAATCCAGAACCCCATCTGAGTCTCATGTGGTGACAGGATCTGAGTACTTGAACCATCAACTTCTGGTTCCCAGGAGCTGGAATGGAGAGCAGAGATGAGACTCAAACTCAGACACCCCAAAAATGGGATGCCAGTGTCCTGGATGTGTCATGTCTTCTGTGCCCAAATGCCCACTCCTCCAGGTGGCCCTTGATCTGTCCATCGATGTCTTGCCAGCTGTGTCTGACCCTAGCCTCCAAGCCAATGGTCATTGCACCACCCAGCCATGGTTTAGCTTCCTGATCAGGGTAGACCTGACCCCTGTGGCTTGGCTCAGCCTAGTCAGAGAGTGGAGTGGTAATTGCTGACCTCAGAGTGGTCCAGAAATAGAACACTTGTGCCAAGGGCAGCATGCCTTCTGCTTGAGCTGAAGCGCACTGCCCCATTAGGAACTGCAAGCACACCTGCCATCTGTCACCCTGCTTCTGGCCTGAGCCAAGATGTCAGCTGTCTCAGGCTTCCTGGGATGGTCTGGATTGCTAAGGGCACAAATATAGAGAGAAGGAGGGGCAGGAGAGAGAGAGAGAGAGAGAGAGAGAGAGAGAGAGAGAAGCTGAGAGAGAGAAGCTGAGAGAGCAAGTGAGAGGAGAGAGAGATCACTGGCTCACTTTCCAGATGCTCACAACAACAGCCATGGCTGGGTCAGGCTGAAGCTGAGAGTCAGGGAGTCTGGCCAGGCCTCCCACACGGGAGGTAGGAACCCAGACACTTGGGCCATCACCTGCTGCCACCCAGGGTACACATTAGCAAAAGGCTGAGTAGCAAGCAGAGAGCTGGGACTTGAACCAAACGCTCTGATATGGCAGGTGGACATCCTAAGGGCTGGGTTGCCCCACTGCACCACAATGCTTACCTCCACCAAAAGTAATGTAGACTTAAGTGTTTGCTCTTACTTTCCTCAGGCCCAGTCTGCTCCTCTTTTTTATTATTTTTATTTTAAATTTTGAATTTTATTGTACAATTCTGTATAATCTGGGATTTCCCCCTCCCACAACTAATTTTTCCCATATTGTCACAACAGTACATTCCTTCATATGGAATCAGTCTGCTATTTAAGTGTGCCCCGACATTGCTGGTACAGACAATGTCAGACAGTCCATCATCCCAGTGTCTAGATATGTCCAAAACTTTCATTTGGAGTCCATCTTTTGGGTTCAGGGATGCATGTTGCATTGTGTCATCATATTTGGACATGGTAGTCTCCATTACTTCATTACTATACATTCCAATTTGCATGATGGTTTCCTTATATTAGAGAGATCATATGATATTTGTCTTTTTGAGATTGACTTATTTTACTGAGCTTGATGATCTCTAGTTGGGACGATCTAGTTGCAAATGGTATAATTTCATTCTTTTTAATGGCTGAATAATATTCCATTCAATAGATATAACACAGTTGCTTTAATCACTCCTCTTTGGATGAGCATCTGGATTGTTTCCATGTCTTTGCTGTTATAGATTGCGCTGCTATAAATATAGGATTACAGATCCCCTTTTCATATGTAGTTTTAATTTCTCTTGAGTATATTCCAAGCAGCGGGATAGCTGGGTCATATGGCAGGCTTATTTGCAATTCTCTAAGTACTCTACATACTGCTTTCCACAGTGGTTGTACTAGCCTGCACTCCCACCAGCAATGAAGGAGGGTACCTTTCTCCCCACGTCCATGCCAGCAGGTGTTGTGAGTTGAGTTCTGAATGTAGGTCAATCTGATTAGAGCTAGATGGTACCTCAATGTAGTTTTCATTTGTATCTCCCTGATGGCTAAGGGAGCCTAAACATCTTTTGATTTCTGTTAGCCATTTGAATCGCTTCTTTTGAAAATTTTCTGTTCATTTCCTTTGCCTATTTTTTGACAGAATTGTTTTTTGTTCCTGTTCTGGGATTCTGAAGCTCTTTGTAAATCCTGGATATTAGTCCACGATCACTTGTGTAGCATGCAAAAATTTTCTCTCATTTTGTTGGTTGCTTTTTCACTGTGTTGATCATTTCCTTTGCTGTACATAAGCTTTGTAGTTTGATGTAGTCCCATTTGTTCATTTTGGCTTTGACTGCCTGTGCTTTTGGTGTCTTTTCTAAGAAGTCTTTCCCCATTACTATTTCTTGGAGAGTATTTCCTGTTTTCCTTTAATAGTTTGATGGTTTCTGGGTGTGAATTTAGGTCCTTGATACATTTAGAGCTGATTTTTGTATAATGTGACAGGTGTGGGGTTTGCTTCTTAATTCTACAAGCTGCTATCCGATTGTCCCAACAGCATTTGTTGAAGAGACCAGGCTTTTTGTCTGGATCGTTTTCAGTTTTCTTGTCAAATATTAATTGGCTATACATGCATAGGCTCCCTTCTGGTGTTTCTATTCTGTTCCATTGATCTTATTCTCTGTTTCTGTACCAGTACCAGACTGTTTTGATAACCACTGCTCTGTAGTATGTCTTGAGGTCTGGAATTGTGATTTCTCCAGCTTGATTCTTATTCCTCAGGATAGCTTTGGCTATTCGTGGTCTCTTGTGTTTCCAGATGAACTTTTGTATCTTCTTTGTTATTTCTGTGAAGAATGTTGCTGGGATTTTGATTGGGATTGCATTGAATCTATATATTACTTTTGGTAATATGAACATTTTGATAATGTTGATCCTACCAGTTCAGGAAAATGGTAAGTTTCTCCATTCTTCAATATCTTCTTCTGTTTCCTAATTTTTATAGTTTTCATCATAGAAGTCTTCTACATATTTACTTAGCCTAATTCCTAAATATTTACGATTTCTCTCTGCTATTTTAAAAGGGACTGTGCTTACACTATCTTTCTCGGCCATGGAATTATTTGTGTACACTAGTGCCATTGATTTGTGTTCGTTAATTCTGTATCTGGCTACACTTCCAAAGTCTTTTATGAGTTCCAGTACTGTCTTGACTGAGTTTTTTGTTTCTCCTATGTAGAGAATCATGTAATCTGCAAATAGAGATACTTTCAGTTCCTCATTTCCAATTTGGATTCCTTTAATTCCTTTTTCTTGCCTAATAGCTCTGGCAAGGACTTTCAATACTATATTGAAGAGTAGTGGTGACAGTGGACATCCCTGTCTAGTTCCAGATTTTAATGGAAAGTCTTCCAATCTTTCTCCATTTAGAATGGTGCTGGCATTGGGATTTTTGTAAATTGCTTTGATTGTGTTGTAGAATGCTCCTTCTATGACTATCTTGCTTAGGGTTTTCAGCATGAAGTGGTGTTGGATTTTATCAAATGCCTTCTCTGCATCTATTGAGAGGATCGTATGGTTTTTATTTTTCATTTTATTGATGTGATGTATCACATTTATTGATTTGTGAATGTTGAACCATCCCTGCATGTCTGGGTGAATGATCTGCCTGCTGTACTGTTGGATTCTGTTGGCTACTATTTTGTTGAGGATCTTTGAGTCTGTGTTCATCAAGGATATTGATCTGTAGTTCTCTTTTTCTGCTGTTTCTTTATCTGGCTTTGACATTAAGTTGATATTAGCTTCATTGAAAGAGTTTGGAAGATTTGCCTCTCTATTGTTTGCAAAAGCTTGTGGAGGATTGGAGGAAGTTCCTCTTGAAACATTTGGTAGAATTCATCAGTGAAGCCATCTGGTAAAAAGACATTTCTTGATTGGGAGGGCTTTAATTACTGATTCAATCTGTCTGTGTTACAGCTCTATTTAGATTATTATTAATCTCGACTCTGATGCTATTGATGAGTCTCTTCTCCCTCCTTTTTTGATTAGTTGGGCTAGTGGGGAATCTTGTGAATTTTCTCAAAGAACCATCTCTTTGATTCATTGATCTTATGAACAGTTATCTTGGCCTCTATTTGTTTACTTCCTCCCTTATTCTGATTATTTCTTTTTTTCCACTAATCTTGGGATTGCTTTGCTGTTGTTTTTCTAGTTCCTTCAACTATAAGGTTAGCTGATTTATTTGATGCTTTCCTAGTTTCTTAACATAAGCATTGCTTGAGAGGAACTTTCCTCTTAACACTGCCTTGCTTGTGTCCCGTAAGTTTTGATATATTGTGTTCTTGACTTCACTTGTTTCAAGCAATTTTTTGATTTCCCCTTTGATTTCCTTTCTAATCCATTGCTCATTTAGTAACATACTATTCAGTTTCCATGTGTTTGAAAGTCTTCTTGGGTATTTTGACTTCTTGGTCTCTAGCTTCACTCCATGATGGTCTGGGAATATGCATGGTATAATTTTCATTTTTAAAAAATTGCTGAGGCTTGTTTTGTGACCTAAATCATGGTCAATTCTGGGGAAGGTTCCACATACTGATGAAAAAAGTGTATTCTCTATAAAATGAAAGGTTCAATAGATGTCAGCTTAAGTCCGTTTGCTCTAGAGTTTGGGTAAATTCTGTTGTTTCTTTACTGAGTTTCTGTCTTTTTGATCTGTTAATTGATGCTAATGGGGTAAAAGGTCACCCACTATGATTGTATTGGAGTTTATGTCTCCCTTTAAATCCATTAATGTTTGTTTCACATAGTTAGATGCCTTGGCATTTGGTACATATGTATTTATTATGGTGAACTCTTCTTGCTGAATGGATCCTTTGATTATTATATGGAGTCCTTCTTTCGATGTCTACATCATCTGATATAAGAATGGCTACTCCCACACGTTTTTCTTTACCATTTGCTTGGAATATCTTTTTCCATCCTTTTAATTTCAGTTTCCTCTGATATTTGTTGGTGAGATGTGTCTCCTGTAAGCAGGAAATATATTTTTATTTTATGCAGTCCTCTAATTTATGGCATTTGATTGATGAATTTAATCCATTTACATTCAATGTTAATGTGGATAGGTGGTAATTTTGTCCTGTCATCTTAGTAATGGGTTGTTCTTTGATTGAGTCTTCTGTTAGCCTTTTAGTGGGATGTTCTCCACATTTGCCTTTGGTTTTGGTAGCTGCTATTCCTTTTCTCTCTCATGATTACATCTTTGAGTGTTATCTGTAGGGCAGGTTTGGAGGAGGTGAATTCTTGGAGTTTTCCTTTATTGTGGAAAAATTTTTTCATTTTGAAAGACAAAAAAAGAGCTTTGCAAGACACATTACTCTGGGCTGAATTTTTTTCCTTTTTAGAGCCTACAATATGTCACTCCATTCTCTCCTGGCCTGTAGTGTTTCCTCTGAGAGGTCAGCTGTGAGTTTGATTGGTGTTCCTCTATAGGTCACTTGATTTTTCTCATGTGCAGATTTAAGGATTTTGTCCTTATGTTCAACTGAAGAGAGATTATCATGTGTTGTGAGGTTTTCTTTTGATTAACTTTGGTTTTCTGTGACCCTCCCATATATTGTTTTCCAATTCTTTCTCCAGATTAGGGGAATTTTCATCTATTATTTCATTGAATAAACCTACATTCTAAGTTTCTCTCTTTCTGTGCCTTCTGGAACTCCCATAGTTCTTATGTTAGGCCTTTTAATCACATCTTTTAATTCTTGGATACTTTTTTTTTTTTGCCCCAGCTCTGCTTCCAGCTTTTTGTTTGTTTCCCCCTGGTGATAGGAAATATCTTGCAATTCTGATATTCTTTCTTTTTGCTTTATTCATTCCATTTTTTTAGACTCTCCACTGTATTCTTAACTTCTGAAATGTAAGCTTTCATTTGATTCATTCCCTGTGTGACAAATTTCTTAAATTCTTTGAACTCATGTATTATGTGCTTCTCATTGTTGGTCAGGCTTTATAATGAGTTTTCTGTGTCCCCCATTTTCTCAATGTCTTCCTCAGTTAACTCTGAGGGTGGTAGAGACTTCTGTTCCTTCACTGGGGAGTCTTCAGTAACATTCATTGTGCCTCTGTCTTTTCTTTTAACTTTTGACATTGCAATCCTGCTTGGCAGATTTTCCTCCTTGGTACAGATTTCTAAGATCTATTACCTACAGGTCTACAAGTCAATTTTTATGTTCTGTCAGCTATCCTGGATTAGGAAGATGTCAGCTGTCCCAGATAACAGATTTATCAGCAATGCTGATCTTGTCTGGACACACAAGATGGCACCCGGCAGAGCACTGCTGGAGAGCCTGGGCTACTGGCCTTTTGATCCATAGACCACACAGATCCTGCAGGACGCAAAGCTGGCATTGTCCTCCCCATGAGATCAGCCTGGTGTGACTAGCTGGAAATACTCCCACTCCAGTGGTTGATCCCTGTGCTGCGAGTTCCAATCCACCTCCAATCTGCCCTGTGGAATCTGCCACTCCCTTTCCATTCATTGCTGGGCCAAACTGTTCAGTGGGATTTGCCAGTCTCGGGCTGCATTTATCTCCCAAGCTCGCTGTGTGAGCTTGAGCTCCCACCTGGCTGCCACAAGAGCTGATGTGTGGCTGCCATTGGATCCTTGGCTGTCGCTGGAGTCCGAATGGCTGCTCACCAGTTGCTGGGGGGTTTTCTGTTCTCTGAAACACCACTCCACCATCGCTGCATCTTCACTGTGTCTAGGAGGTCTCCGGGCACCCCTTGTTGACTATCTGGCCCCTATCTTTTTCTATAATCTGCTCTTTGTGCTTTACCCTAATGATTTTTTGTCATCCCAAACATGTCTGCACCCTATGCTGCCATCTTGATTCTCCCAGTCTGCTCCTCTTAAGATGGAGCAATGATGTTCTCCCCAAAGATGCGATGGGGGACATGCCTCAAGCGTTCCACACTGGGTTTGGTGTCATGGACTTTGCATATTGGAGCTCTGTGACTCACAGGAATGACTCAGGCTAACGTGTATGACAGGTGGTCATCACTGAGACGTTTCAGGTGTCATCTGCTGACACACACATGCTGGGTACATCAAGTACATTCATGCCCAGCTCATATGCACCATTTCTCACACTCCTGATCCCTACTGGCCATCATCCTCTTCATCATCTCCAGGTCTACTGTGGAACACCTACCTTCATGGCGCAGCAGCCTTAGCAAGTGGGGGGGGAGGGTGGGATTCTTCCCAATGTAAGGAGTGCTCCCTTGTTCCTGTAGTCAATGAGCAAAGTGAGACTACAATCTGGGTCAAGAGTTCTTGCAGGTCAGGTTCTAGAATGTTCTTTCCCAAGTTTCACTCCTACCTTTGTCTGGCTTCTCTATTGAAGGCTTCACACACACCAAAAGTTGGAGATCTGATTGAGATTTTTGTCGTTGGTTTTCAACACTGGGCCGTCTACGTGGGAAATGACTACGTGGTCCATGTAGTTCCTGCAGGTAAGGGTTCTCCTAATTACACTAACTGAGATCAGGAGGGTAAACAGAGGCACAGGTACATGCTTGTCGTTTCTTGACTAATGGGGTTGGCACTCACGAAGTCTCGGTTGAATGAATCATGCCTTTCGTTGATGGGTGTATCAGAGGCTGCCTGCCTGTTCTTATCTGTCAGTTGGTGGCAAGATGGTTCTGGACCTTTGTTCCCTTTTATGGGAGTAGGAGGGGTTCAGCACTGGACAACCCTTCTCTACCTGCTGAGCATCCCCCCATATGTCACTTAGCCTACATGTTGGTTTTTCAGGAGGTGCAAGTCACAGCCAACAGCAGTCATTTCCTTCAAGCAGTCCACCCTGGCTGGCTGTGTTGTGTGATGCAAGCAGAATGCAGGGGAATCCTGGCTGCTCTGCTCACGGACTGACTTGGAGCACGTGGCTGCACTCTCTGTGGAGCCAGGATAAACTTCCCTTCCTCCCAGGAGCAGGTGCAGGTACAGGGTTGGAGCATGATGGCTTCAAGGAGAATGATGGACCCTGGAAGCCACTCACCTGCTGAACAGCATGGACCCAGATGAACTAGATCACCCCTGTATGCCCTGGGCTGCTACATAGCAGGTGTGTGTACACATGTGTATGTACACATATGTATGTATATTTGAGAGGCTTATTGCACATTGAAAAGAAGAATTCAGGACTGAGTGGATTTCAAACTGAAAAATGGCATGAAGCTTGGCTTGGAGCAGACATAGCATGAAGGAAGAAGTATAAGGGTCTTTGAGAGGCTCAGGGAAATTTAAGATGTAAAAAAAAATGAACTTCATGTATAGCTTATTCATAGTTTGTGTTTCCCATGAACTTTTGCTTTTAAGACATTTAATTTTATTGGAATGTCAGATTTACACAAATCTGACAGGCAGAAATGTTTTCTGTCTGCTGGTTAACCGCCTGCCTCTCCCCCCCCCCCCGCCAAGTGGCCTAACAGCCACAGCTGAGCTGCTCAGAAGACAGGAAACAGGACCATCTTCCAGGTCTCTCATAGGGGTGCAGGGTCCCAAGCCTTTCAGCCATCTCAAGTGCTTTCCCAGGCCACAAGCAGGGAGCTAGATGACAAATGCATTAGCTGGAACATGGACTGGCACCCATATGAAATCCCAGCGCATGCAAGGTGAGGACTTTACTCACTAGGCTACTGCATAGGTTCCCCCATGAACTTTTTTGAAGACTCTACACATGCTGTTGCATGCTTGCATTGGGCACAGAGACCTACATTCCTACATGGTGGGGAGTGTTGGTCGAGCGTCTTTATACCTGATTGGCCACAAGCTGTGGAAGCTCCTGCTCATGTGAGAATAGCTTAGTTTATTCACAGAACCAGTATTTATTGTAGAAATCAAGATTAATTTATGTGACTATGGGAGTTTGGTTTAAGGTTATTTTCAAACTGTGCCTTCCACTTTGGTTAATTTTCAGACATATATATACAAATGTAGCTTTATTTCTTTTTTAAAATATTTATTTTAATCAGAGTCAGATATACAGAGAAAAGGTGAGGCAAAAAGATCTTCCATTCACTTGTTCACTCTCCAAATGACCACAAATGTTGTAGCAGAACCGAGCCAATCCGAAGCCAGGAGCCTCCCCTGGGTCTCCCACGAGGCTGCAGGGTCCCAAGGCTTTGGGCCATCCTCTGCTGCTTTCTAAGGCCATAAGCATGAAGCCAGATAAGAACTAGAACAGATGTGTCAACTGTGTCAGTAACAAGGGGGCTTGCATCACAGATTTCAACACAAATTATTCATTTGTTTGAGGAGCAGTGACACACACACAGACTTGAAGGCAAAAGTAGCCTCATCTACTGGTTCATGTAACACACACCTGCGGGGAAAGGGCAAATGCACCCTAGCACCCAGGGAGAGCCCAGCTCTCAGCAGGCCTGCTCGGTCGGTGGCCCACAGTTCATCTGTTCCCTTCTAGTAGCTTCAGGCTCTGTCCCTAGCCATTATTTCAGTTCAGCTTCCCAGTAGCCCAGTAGTGAAACGGAGGAGGTAGGGTAGTCCCGCAAAAGATGAATCAGAAAACTGGAGGCATAGAGGTTACAACCCTCAACTGCCTTGGTCCTTTCCTTTTACAAGTCATAGAACAGGGCTCTGGGGCCAGGTTGGGAGATGAGTAGGGACAGGGCTGGCTTTAGGGATCATGATGAGTGAGCCAAGATTCTGGGAGTAGGTCTTGGTTGTGCTCAGGGATCCTCTTTCACACTATTGCAAATGTCCCTTCACCTGCAGGTGCTCCCACATTGCTGGTCCTGGTTGGGGAGCCCAATGACTTTTTCTAGCTGGTGATGGGGACATGGCTGTCTACTAGCTCAAGCCCTGATTCTTCCAGGGACATGTGAACCTACCTGGTCCATAAAGAAACTAGAGACCTGGGTCCCTGATGACTACCTAAAAAGACATCCAGACTTCAATTTGACCTGTTCTTGAATTTCAGCCCATGCAAGATGGACAGGTCCTTGGGGAAGGGGCCAAGGGCATTGAGGCTGCCTCAGTTGGGACCTGCTCTCAGCCTCAGTGACCCTGCGCCGGGCTGACGTGATGGTTTACATACAACAATTTGCAGGAGTTCGTGTATCCAGTATCATGTGTGTGTTGGCTAAAAAAGCCATAGTGAAGAAGGAACTGCTCTCTGAGGTGGTTGGGAAAGACGAGTACCGGGTCAATAACAAGCATGACAACAAGTACCCACCACTGCCTTCCAACAAGATTGTCCAGCTGGCCATGCAGAAGGTGGGCAGGGAGGTGCACTACTCGTTGACCCACAACAACTGTGAGCACTTCGTGAATAAGCTGCGCTATGGGATCTCCCGCAGCGACCAGGTATGTGCTCATTGGGGTACCCCTGACCCAGGAGTCAAACCATTCCTCAGGACAGGTGCTGGTTACCTGCTGTGTCTGTGCTAAGGGTGCAACAGGGAACATGGGCAAGACAGCAGAGAAGGACCTCTCGCCTTTGTGGCTATCACACTTGGTTGGGGAGATTGACACACGTGTGGATGATCCAGACCAGTGCAGATGGAGGTGACGGCCATGGAAGGAAGTGGCCGATTTGGCAAATCCAGGTTCCCTTGGCAGGCCATGTCTCTGCATTTATTTCAGAGATGGGTACATTAGACTGGATCTTGTCCCAGGGTATGGCTTACCAACTCCTGCTCTAAAGTCACTTGAAAAACCGGGTGATACCTCATCTGTTTGTGGGTGGCATATATGTTTTTCTTTTTTAATCTCCCAATTCTGAACACCCAGCAGAGCTTGGAATCTAGTCAGTTGCACATAGTTTGCATGCTTCTCTCACTTGCCTTCTTCACATTCAAGTGTTGCATGTTCAGCTCATCCAGCCAATGAGCAATGGTTCTGTGCCGTTTACACACAATTCATCTCCAGCAGGAGATGAATTATTCACAATTCATTAGCCAGCAGGAGATAGAGGCAAGGATGCCAGAGTGAGAACTGCCAGGCCACTCTGCTGTCCTGGGCACTGGAGTGGGAACTGCCCACGGTGCCCAAAGGTGGTTCTGCTCATCAGGCCCACCCTCTCCTTGGGCTGAGCAGGACCAGAGGTGGTGTGTTTGTCGGACAGGCTTTTTAGTGGAAGCTCAGGAACCTGGCTGTCCCTCTCCCTCTTCCTGCCTTCTCTTTGGACTGTGCTGATCTACAAGTGTCCTCCAGTGTCAGCTTGTTGCTCTTTTTCTTACTCTCTCCCTTCAGGAACATTAGGCTGTGGGGACTACAGAGCTAAGGACACCGCCCAACCCCTTGCACAGCCACGCTGGGGCAGCCAAGGCTGCGTCCCTCAGGCCAGCTGCTGAGACAGCCTCGCCTGGCAGGAGGGTGTGCTCCAGACACCTGTCCTGGGCCTCTGACTTCTTCTGCTGATGAGAGGGTTGCCCAGGTGCCACCCACAGTGCTGGCATCTTCCTCAGGGACCTGGGCAGGATCAACATTAGAAAGGCTGCCGACCACTCGACCTCATGCCTTGCATTTTCCTGTGTTTCTGACTCTGCTGAGCCCAGGCTGGTCCCCTGCCCCACCCTGCCCACGGGCCTCTACCCCAGCTCCCCCGTCACCGTGACTCAAGTGTCTTTGCAGGTTCTATGAAATGATGTCTGGCCACAATCACGCAGGTCACTGGAAGATGGTTCTGTGTGTCCTTGAACAAAACGGGCTGCACCTGTGCCTGCTTCCTTGTCCCCAGCCACGCGTGCTTTCAAATTTGTTAATATCTGCTGTCCGTGGAATTTTGTTCTTGACAGGGTTCATCGTCAGGCTTCACCTCTGGAAGGTGGTACTAAAATGCCTGCAGTGCAGAGCGACGGGGCACAGCAAGCAAAGTCCAGGCCTGGGGGAAGTCTGGCATGAGGCCCGACCCCATAAAGCAGTGATTCTCATGGGCTCCCCAGGGATCTTTCAGCTCAGGGCAGCTGTGCTCAGTGGGTGGGGGGTGGGTCCTTCCTCCCTCTCTGTGGTTTCTCAGGGTGTTTGTTACCTGCTTTTAAATATTTATGTATTGAATGGCAAGGGCGGGGAGGGAATGCAAAGGAACAGGGTGGGGAGAAAAGAGAAATAGAAAGAGAGATAAAGGGAGAAAGGGAGGGAAAAGAGAGAGAGGGAGAGAAATGAGGGGAAGGAGAAGAGAGGGAGAAAGTGAGAGGGAGAGAAGGGGATAGAGTAAAGGGGGAGGAGAGGGAGTGAGAAGAGGAAAGGAGGAGGAATAGGGAGGGAGAGAAATGGGACGAGAAAGCAACCGGGAAGGGGAGCGAGGAGAGGAAGGGAAGGATGGGACGGAGGGCAGGGGGGAAGGAAAGAGGGGAGGAGGTGGCGCCTGCTCCCTTTCTGTGTCCCCTGCCTTTCCACAGAGGACAGGGCCAGGTTCGTCCTAGCTGCAGGACAGACCACTGGAGTGTGTTCCCAGTCAGTCCTCTGGCACTGAACCATGCCCATCTCTTTTCCACTGCAGGTTATGAGCGTGGTCAAAGCAATAACAGATGCAACGAAACTGCCTATTGTCAGCCCCTTGGTGGTTCTAGTGCCCAGAAGCTGGAGGAAAAGCACTAAACCCAAGGCCTTGCCCTCACCGCGAGGCCCGTTATCACGAAACATTTCAAGATTTTTGAACTGAAATTTCAAGATTTTTGCTCCACAATTACTTAAACTTTATTTTTGCTGGTTTTTTATTTGACCAATAAACACAGATCTCCTATCGGCCGATTCATTCCCCAAGAAAGAGCCCTCCACAGCCAGGGAGGGACAGTACAAATCCAGAGGCCAGGAATTTAATCACATTTCCCTGTGCAGGCAGCAGGGATGCATGTGCAAAGTCCTTGTCACCCATTCCCTCTCAGGTTGCAAATTATTGGAAGATGGATTGAGATTCCAAGCTAAGATGTAAACCCTGAGATTGGATACGTGTTCCCAAGCACTGTGTTAACCACCAACCAAACAACTACCCCTAATTTAACTTACAACTCCATTTTTCCATAGACTTTTGAAGTCCCACCAACATGAGAGACCCAAAAGAGGCTCCTGGCTCCTCGCTTTGGATGAGTTCAGCTCCAGATTTGTAGCCATTTAGAAGTGAAGCAGTAGATGGAGGACCTTCCCTCTATCGCTTCTTTTTTTTTTTTTTTTAGACTTTTTAAAAAATATTTGTTGTTATTGGAAAGTCAGATATACAAAGGAGAGGAGACACAGAGAGAAATATCTTCTTCCACTGGTTCCCTCTCCAGTTGCCCACAATGGCCACAGCTGAGCTGATCCAGTACCAGCCAGGAGCCTCCTCTGGATCTCCCATGCAGATACATAGTCCAAGACTTTAGGTCAACTTCTGCTGCTCTCCCAGTCCACAGGCAGGGAGCTGGATAGGAAGTGGAGCAGCCATAACAGGAACCTGTGCCCATATGAGATCCCAGGTGTGCAAGGCAAGGATTTTAGCCACTAGGCTACCATGCCAGGCCCTTCCACAGACTTTTGGAGTTCCGTCATGTGTGTGCATTTGTGTGAGCATGTATATGTAACTTTAGGTGCATTCATAAAGCAAAATTCAATAACCTAGAACACGATGACTACTACACCTCTATCTAAATTATTTGTTTTTAAGTCAAATACACTCTTGTGGAGTTAAATGACTGATAAGGGAAAGCATGGCGCCTTGATGGGGGTAAGGCAGGTAGCCGGGCCGAGCTGGAGGTCACAATCCACAGAGCCCCGCCCTGTGTGATCCTCCTGGCTTATCAGAAACTCTCCTTTTTAGGATGCTTTGCTGGCATCTGGGGCCTGGGGAGAAGTCTCCAGGTCAATATGGATGTTAAGGTATTGTAAAGCTTCCAGGTAAGCACATCACCTCATAGCAGGTGGTGCTGGGAGAGCTTCCCTCAGAGACAGATAACAGGAGGTCCTAAGCTGGGAGTCTGTGATGGCTTCCCTTCTCCTGGTCCTCAGTTATGCCCACTCTGTGTGTGTGTGTGTGTGTGTGTGTGTGTGTGTGTGTGTTTGCCTTCCCAAACAAATTCCACCACTTTGTGTGCCTTCCAAGTGCATGTACTTAGAATGCTCCTTAATTAGAAGGCAAAAACCGCTCTGCCCAGAAAACACAGGCACAAAGCTGTGTTGACAACTTTGAAGATATCTTTAGGTCTTGAAAAAACATCTTTAAAGGACAAATGTTACAATGCAAAGAGTAAAGCCACCACCTGCAATGCCAAAATCCCACATGGGTAGCATTCCATACGGGCACAGATTTGAGTCCCTGTATGCTCCACGCCTGACCTAGGTTCCTGCCAATGGCCTGGGCAAAGCAGTGGATGATGGCCCAGGTGTTTGGGCCCCTGCCACTCACATTAGAGCCCAAGATGAAGTTCCTCTATTCTAACCTCAGCCTGGACCAACCCTGGCCATTATAGCCAACTGAAAACTGACACAGCAATTGGAAGATCTCTCCCTCTCTCTCCCTCTCTGTAACTGTGCCTTTCAAATAAATGGATCTTTTTAAAATTTTAAAGTAAATCTAAGATCCACGTAAGCCACATAAATCAACAAGCATTTGTATTATCATAATTTTCCCAAACCACTCTGTATTGGTTCACTTTGGTATGACAGCATGAAAGCTTGCATATATGCAACTTATTCATATATATCATACATAATCATATATATAAAACACTCATACATAGTATGTTTTTTATATACTATATATTGTTGTTTATTGATTTTATTATTTTATTAAACTATTATTTTTATTAATTTTATTTTGTTTATGTTATATTTGTGTTGTGTATATATATATATTTATAAATACTACACACTAATATGGGTGCATATGGAGTTTTCAGTTTCAGCAAACCTCACTACTCTAACCCCAGCACTATTTGCACATTTGTGTCCCCTTGGACCTGCAGACATCTAAGGATACAACACTGGACCAGGTGACTTCATAGTTCCCACTACTTTGTAGTAATTATGGCGAGGCATTGTAAGGAAGAGACTGGCGAAACAACCAAGAGAAGTGACACTGGCATCAAAGAGAAACCCAAAGGAGTTCTCTTTCTTCTGTTACCACCAATGAAGACCCTTGATGTTGACGTCTTCTGTTACCACCAATTGACCCTTGACCAATCTTGACGTTCCTCCTCTGTTCAGGGGATTTAAAAAACCATTGGCAAAATACTCTCCCCTTCTCTTTCTCTCTCTCTCTCTTTTTTTTTTTTTACATTTATTTATTTTTATTGGAAAGTTAGATATACAGAGAGGAGGAGAGACAGAGAAGAGGCTGAATGGCCAGAGCTGAGCTGGTCCGAAGCCAGGAGCTTCCTCTGGGTTCTCCCATATGAGTGCAGGGTCCCAAGGCTTTGGGCCATCCTCGACTGCTTTCCCAGGCCACAAGCAAGGAGCTGAATAGGATTAGAACCGGCGCCCATATGGGATCCTGGTGTGTGCAAGGCAAGGACTTTAACCACTAGGCCACTGACCCAGGCCCATTTCCTTATCTCTTAACACGTAAACCATGTGGGTGAGCCGTGGAGAAGGTAAATGTTTGGGAGTAGCTCCCTTGAACATGTTTATTTTGGCTCAGTAATCAGCCAAGTAAATGACTTGGGTTTTAATCTTCCTTGCAATAAAATATGAATGATAATCATTTCCTGTTATGCCGAGGTTTTAAGGGACTAATGTAACAGAAAGAATGAGAAGTGCAAAATCTTTCTGATTATTCCAGATAAAGAATTTCTTCCTTGAATATTGTTGCGAGATTCTGCTGCACCGTCTCACATTTGCTGTTTTCCTTTTCTATCTCCCTTCCTCCTTCCCTCCCCCTTTCCCTCCCTCCTTCCCTCCCTCCTTCCCTCCCTCTACTGATGCTGACATAGACAGCAGCCTTTAGAGAAAATATTCATTTTTGTCTCTGTAATTCTGCACTTGGATCTCTGCTCTGAACTCTATCTGGGGCTGAGTGACTGCTTCTGCCCTAACACACAAAAAAAATTTTTTTTATCACTCACTGGTGTTCAATTTGAAAGCTAAGGTGCCCAGTAAACCAATCATTGAAAAGCAATGTGCAATATTACAAGTTGTCAAGACCTGCAAAGGAAAAGTTTACACTAGATATAAATGAGCCCAAGTGTCAAAGAACACAAAGCAAATGTTCACTTGTTTTTTCATTTAGCCAAACATTCTTACAAGTATTTATTCTATACCTGTTTCTTGCAAGAAACTATAAGGAGTAT